ATATAGTCCAAATTTTTTCGGGTTTTCGGATAATCCGAAATGGGATTTTGATCGATCTATATCCGATCCGAAAATCCGAAAAAAAATTTGGATACTCGATCTGAACTATCCGAACATTAAAAAATGGATCGGATATCCGAATTTTCGGATCGGATCGGATTTTTTTGCACACCCCTAATTATAAGCACAAATATTTCAAATTAACAATCTCTATTGCATATGATTAAAAACTCCTAAATTTTGGATTTAATATTTATTGAGAGCAAAATTCTCATTTTCCCCTCTCTAATTAGGAATCGTTTAAATAAATATCTCTAATTAGCAAAATTCTTTTTTCTTTCTCTGTTAGCCTAGGCCCAACCATAATTTTATTACATTTTCTTTGTTGACAATGTTTTGTTTTGTTTTTTAAAAAATGACCATGTTATGTAATATTTAAATTAGTTATCATATTTTTAAACCTTTAAATAAACTGTAATTACATGATAACAACATCAATCAAATTAAAACTCAATCAACTATCAACAATTAATCTATTATGATAAGACATTAGATACTTTAAGTAAGATTAAAAATTCAATTTTATCCATTATAAATGGACCAGATTGAGTTGAGATGGTTTAAGGAAAAAGTTAGAGGTCTTCCTAGTTTTTTTATTAAAAATATATATAGACATATACCTACTTTGGACCTCCTAATTTTTTTTATTTTGATTTTGTCATCCTTAAGTTGATATTATAATTTCGTCTTTATAAAGACATTTAAAGAATATCTTATTTGAATTATATGAATCAATAAAAAAAAAACTCAAGTCAACTAATAATAATAAAATGCTTATAAAACATCAATGCATTTCCTTTTTTTTCCTTTTCCTCCGTCCACTTGTACCTTTTTTCCCCAATTCCTATTTTTTTTATAAATATTTTTAATGTCAAATGTCCTGAAACTCCATTTCCAACATTAATTTTTAATTTTATTTTCTCTTTTCGACTGATTTTTTTATTGGTAGATGATTTTTAAATAATTTTTTAAATTAAATAATAAAAGCTATTTTCCGTATTATATAAAATATATATTTATTTAAACACTAACCCCAACATAACTTTATTTCTTTCACTGTATAATCAATTATTAACGTAAAAGCCAAATGACGCACCAACAACCGGACGTTCTCACCATAAACCTTTTAATTTGGTTTTTAAAATATTATTTGATGATTTAAAAAAAAATTAATGTTTAAAATATTAAGATTAATATAAAAATATTTTTAAAATAATTAATATTATAAAAAATAGTTCAAAAAATTTAATAACTATTTTTTAAATAATTGGTTATGATCAAATGCTTAAATTTAAAAGAAAAAAAAAGTAAAGATACGTAATTAGCCATTATTAAATTGGATTTTAATTATTATTTAATTCCTATCACGACTTAATCAAAAAATAAAATAAAATCCTATCACGAGAAATTAATAAAGGTCATTAGTGGATGCAATTATCATAAGTAATACTATTTTTTAAGTCCATTTGTAATAATATTATTTTAGACTTTTTTATTATTTTATTATTGTTGTCGTCGCCATTATTATTACTATTTAGAATTTTTTGACATAATTAGTTATTGTTAATTATAGAAATATGTACTGATTTTTCATATAAAAGTATATATATATTTTTAAAAGTTTTGACTCGGTTTCTTTAAATTTAGATTAAATTTGTTCGTTATCTTATACATTTACTCTTATTTTGAATTTTCAAGTTAGATATTAATAAGCACTCGCAATTATTGAAGATAAATTGTCATTACGTTGTGGTAATGTGAGTTTGTCAATGAGTAATCACTGTTATATAGCTTTTATGTTAGTGTCGATGTTGTTTACCTTTCAACGTCGATGATGATGTTTATTTATATTTATTATTTATTCGTGTATTTTAATTAAGTTATTAATTTTCTAATATGATATTTTTTTTGTTCTTAAGTGATTAATTTATGTATTTTGACAATCTTAGAAGAAATATCCTACTTATGTAATTAGTTTATGTTTGTAATTTTTTTTCCAACTCCCTACATGGGCGAGGAAGCCAATTAAAGAGCAAATATAATAACTTTTTATATCACATAATTGATGGGTGACTTTTTACTTTTAATTTGTATAATTAAATAATTATTTAAAATTCTAAATTTAAATAATTAATTATCAATTGTTATAGTAAAATGAGACATTAGATTTTTTTAAATAAGATTATAAATTTGACACTTGATGTATTATGAAAAATAAAAATTAAATTAGAATATCATTTTTCTAATATTTAATTTGAATTAAATAATTAATTAAATATTGATTATTTTGAAAAAATAAAATAAAAACTCTCCTCACTAAACGTCAAGGGATATTGAAAAATACTAGTGATATTTTCTAAATTTCCAATTTCACCAGAGCTCCCAGTTTGCCTTTTTAATAGCATCAAATCAAATCAAGACATTGTTTCGTGGAAAATAATAAAATCTGAGATATTGAATCTATTTTATTTTTTTGTTTAAATAAGTGAAAATGCCAGAAGATTCTGATGTATACTTTTATTTTTGGACTCTGCCTAATCACCACTTCTTGATTCTTCAAAGGTCGCATATCAATTGATAAAAACAAGTTTCACATAATGATCCAAATATTATCTTGATATGTAGATTTTTTTATTAATCGAATATATTAGAACCAATTTTTATATAATTTAAATTATGTGATTTAAATTTGATCTTACATATTATTAAATAAATTTAAAGAAATTTAATAATAATTCAATAATAACTGGATATAAATAATATTAATATAAAAAAATATTAATCTGAAACAGAAAGTCGTCCAGAGAATGTAAAACTTTCAAAATCTTCAAGGATTTTGAAGAATAGCGGCTTCAGAAGCCTCATGGAGGTTCACTTGAGCAAAAGATATAGGAGTGGCGATGACTCTAAAAAGGTGGGAAGGCTAATGCCCCAAACTTTGGTGGTCTAATTACCCTTTAAATCATTGGTAGTCCTGAAACTATTGTAATTAAGTCATTGTCCCTTTCAAAAGTTTTTGTATAATTGGTTTTTAAGATAATTTCAGTTTTAAAATTAATGTAATACCCTAAATTTTTCTGGTTTAATTATTTTTTAAGACCTTTGAATTTTAAAATTACTAAAATTACACCCTTAATCTCTTAATTTTCATGATTTAATTACTTTTTAAGACCCTATTTATTTTAAAGTTAAACAACTTGTCCCATGACTTTAAAGGTGTAAAATAATTCACAGCATAATTGAATTGTTAACAAGATTTGTTGAAGTTAGGGATGACAATTTAATCTGAAACCGACAGATTTCGAACCGACCCAAATTGATAGGATAGGATTAAAAAAAAACAGGTTCAGGTTAGGTTGGGTGGAGGGTGGAAAAACCCTAACCCGACCTGACTCAAGGGTAATAGTGTATCGATGATTGCTACAATACCCCATATCTATTTTTCTTATTTTATATCATGTTGGATTGAGTCATGTTATATTTATACTCTAAAAATTTAGGTCAGATTAGATTCGAGTGGATGATATATTTTTCTAGGTTGGATTGAATTCAGGTGAAGTATATATATTTTTCGATTAGGGTCAGGTTGACCAAAACCAGACCAGACTTGACCCGTTGTCATCCCTAGTTGAAGTTTGTCTCTTTAAGACAAATACGTCATCTTCTTAGTGTTTGAGAACGTTAGACGTCTATTTCTCAAGCTACAACAATAACCATTCACTAATAACCGCTATAATAAATAATTTGAATTTAATCTTATCTTTTCCTACCAAGAATCAAATTTTCAGAAGAAAAGAGTTCAACAAATACTTAATTGGTACTTAAAGTATTTTTTAAAAATAAAAAATCTATTTAGTACCAAAACTCGGTTTTATGACATTCTTGAAGCTGATGCACGTTTCAATGAGATGGGCAGTATGATCACATGCATGATATTGGTTCTTGACATATTCAATGGCGTGGTTCTTCCTCATGAGAGTTGTTCTTGTTGATGAACAACGTGGTATTTGATGATTCGTGAAATTTTATTTTGATTAGTTTTGGACGAAGAGTCATGTGTAATAGAGACAATGTTAAACTCAATGAACGTGGAGAAAAAAACATATGATTTTTTTTAGAAGAAAAAAAATATGGAAAAAGTTTTTTTTTTGTAAATATTTATTATCTAGAGTCAAATGATGAACTCATAAGTATGAGATATAATGGATGAGACGAGAGAGGGGACGGCTACCGTAGAAAGAGGGAACGGGGAGAGAGGGGGCGGCGGGAGGGAGGGAGGGGGGCTGGTGAGACGAGAGGGAGAGGGAGAGGGAGAGGGAGGGGGAACTGGAGAGACGGGGAAGACTGGTGGATTTTAAAAAAATTATTTTTTAATTTTTTTAAATAAAATTATCAAAATCATCAAAATACGACGTGTATTACCTAACAAGATTTTTTAACAGCTATTACGTTTGAAACACTTAAAAATAGTTTAGATACCTAAATGGGAAAAACAATATAGTTAAGACACTTATTTTTTTTATACTAAGCATTAAATTTATGATATTTTAATTTAATGACTAAAACAGAACACTAACTAATTGTTTGATGACTAATATGAGTTTACTCCTTTTTTCTAAAATATAAATAGAATCCAAAATAAATCATTCAATCTCTTGATTTTTATTACATAAATTATTGGTCTTTCTTAATATCAAATTTTATGTTCAAATATTGAATTAGTCTGACTCTAATTAAATTATTAATCAATAATAACAAATATTATATATTTTAATGTAATTAAAAATATGAATATATTATATATATACAATATTTATATAATATTCATGTTGGCTTCCTCTCTTTGCCTTTCCTTTGCTCACTTGTTGACGATGATGATCACTTACCTTTTTTTTATAATAAAAAAATCAGAAATGAATAAAATAAACTAAACCTCATCAGCCCAATCACCAAGCACCACTTTTTTATTTGATTCCAAAGGCTGATGGCAGTCTGTTGTGTCTTTTTGTACATCTGATGATTCTTGAAACTCTTTTATCACCCTGTTTTATGCTCCTGTTTCCAGCTATTATCTGCCTTCGCTTTTACTTCCCCAGGTAAACTTTAGCTTTTCTTTTTTGGTTTTATATTCGATTTAGACATCTGAGTTTCTTGTGTTCTCTCTCTTTTAGTACATAAACAACAAAAGATAGATTTTTTTTCACGGTGTTTGGAAAATTGTGATCTGATATGCTCTACAGATGCTGCTTCAGGCACTGGTTCTAGTTGTTTTTTTGGATCCATGATCTGGGTTTTATTTGTTTACATTTCAGGGTACTTGGTTAAGTGTCACTGTTGAGTGGATTTTGGGATTTTTTTGTTTTCTGGGAAAAAAGATGAGTGGAGCTGTGCTTGTAGCTGTTGTAGCGGCTATTGGTAACTTGTTGCAAGGATGGGATAATGCTACCATTGCAGGTGAATTCATTGCTTTCATGAATTGTTATATGTATCTAATTCAAGTTCATCATAGTTCAAACTAATATGATAGGTTTCTTATGTCAAAGATCTATGGTGAATTTGAGTTCCTAATTGAATTGATGGGGTTTTTGCTCTTTTTCCCTACTTGGATGTAAATGGTGTTTGCCATCTCTTTAGATTTGATTAGTTGGTTATCATCTTTGCTTTCACGAACTGCTGCTATATGTATATAGTTCGACATCGAAAATCCAGTCTTTTGGGCTAGAACGATAGCTTTCGTGTGTTGAAGATCTATGGTGAATTCGAGTTGTTGATCTGGTTTTCCCTTCCTCCATGATTAATATATGCAGTCCTCTACTTAAATCTAAAGGGTGTTTTGCCATCTCTTTAGATATGATTAATTGGCTATCATCAGTTTCATGAACCACTATATGTATGTAGTTCAACATCGAAAATTCAGTCTTTTTAACTAAACTGATAGATTTCATATGTCAAAGATCTAGGGTGAATTCATGTTGTTGATCTAATTGGACTGATGTGGTTTCCCTTTTCTCCATGATTAATATATGCAGCCCTCTACTTAAATCTAAACGGTGTTTTGGCATCTCTTTAGATTGATTAATTGGCTATCATTGGTTTCATGAACCGATATACATATGCAGTTCGACATAGAAAATTCAGTATTTTGGACTAATTAGATCTATCATCTATCGTGATTTTGAGTTGATGATCAAATTATATTGATGGGGCGTTTTTCTTTCCTTAAGGTTTAACATATGTAGTTAGTTCCTGTGTTTTCCTGTCTCTTTTGATTGATTAGTTTGTTATCCTCGTTGGTTTCATGAACTACTCTCTATATATTATGTAGTTCAACACCGAAAATTCAGATTTTTGGACTAAGATACTAGATTTTAAAGTTTTATATGTCAAAGATCCATGACTTTAGATTGATTAATTAGTTATGCTCTTTGCATTTTGCGTTGCAGGCGCTGTTCTATACATAAAGAGAGAGTTTAAATTGGAAAGCGAACCGACTATAGAGGGTCTGATTGTAGCCATGTCTCTTATCGGAGCCACATGCATTACTACATGCTCAGGAGGAATATCGGACTGGCTAGGTCGCCGCCCAATGCTAATAATCTCGTCCGTTCTTTATTGTCTTAGTGGTCTTGTAATGTTATGGTCTCCTAATGTTTTTATCTTGCTATTGGCAAGACTTTTGGATGGGTTTGGGGTTGGTTTAGCAGTAACTCTGGTCCCAGTTTACATATCCGAGACTGCACCACCCGAAATAAGGGGATTGTTGAATACCCTTCCGCAGTTTACTGGTTCTATTGGAATGTTTTTGTCATATTGCATGGTTTTTGGAATGTCGTTAACGGACTTACCGAATTGGAGAATTATGCTTGGAGTTCTTTCTATTCCATCTCTTATCTATTTTGCATTAACTGTTTTCTTCTTGCCCGAGTCACCAAGATGGCTGGTAAGTAAAGGGCGAATGAGCGAGGCGAAAAAAGTTTTGCAGAGACTACGTGGCAGGGAAGATGTTGCTGGTTAGTTATCTGCAGTCGCTCTTTTCTTAGTAACTGATGCATTATGTAATTTTGAGACTTTTTTGTTTTTCTCGGAGTTTTAAATTACTCTCACCATGGAGCTGCTATATGATGAATAATGATGTATCTTGCGGATGGTACTGATATTATTTGAAATGAACAGGTGAGATGGCATTGCTAATTGAGGGACTTGGTGTTGGAGGTGAAACCTCGATAGAGGAGTACATAATTGGTCCAGCCAACGAGGACATCGAAGACCAAGATATATCTGCTGATAAAGATCAAATCAAGTTATATGGAGCCGAACAAGGTCTTTCCTGGGTGGCCAGACCTGTCACTGGACAGAGTACTCTAGGTTCTGTGTCTCGGCATGGAAGCGTAGCTTCTCAGAGTGCTCTTGGTCTTGTTGATCCTCTTGTTACCCTCTTTGGAAGTGTCCATGAGAAGGTTCCGGAAACAGGAAGTATGCGTAGCGCACTTTTTCCGCACTTTGGTAGCATGTTCAGCGTTGGAGGTAATCAAGCTAGAAACGAAGAGTGGGATGACGATATTGTTCCTAGAGAGGGCGAGGACTACCAATCCGATGGTGGCGATGGTGATTCAGATGACAATTTGCATAGTCCTTTGATCTCCCGGCAAACAACCAGTTTGGACAAGGACATAGTTCCAGCTGCCCACGGTACTCTTACAAGCCTAAGACATGGTAGTCTAATGCAATCAACTACCGGAGAACAAGTCGGTAGCATGGGTATTGGTGGTGGTTGGCAGATAGCATGGCAATTGTCTGAAAAAGAAGGTCCGGATGGGAAAAAGCAAGGGGGCTTTAAAAGAATTTATTTACACTCAGCGGGTACACCTGGATCGATGCGTGGATCAGTAGTTTCTCTTCCTGGTGCTGAAGCCCCTGAAGACAGTGAGTATGTCCAAGCTGCTGCGTTGGTGAGTGAGCCGGCTCTTTATTCCACTGAGCTTATGAAGCAGCATCCAGTTGGACCGGCTATGGTTCATCCGGCCGAAACTGCCATGGGACCAAGTTGGAAGGATCTCTTTGAACCGGGAGTCAAGCACGCTTTAGCAGTAGGGGTCGGAATTCAATTACTTCAGCAGGTATGTAGAGAACCTAACCATAATCATCTCCCTCTTCAAACAAAACAGCCTGAGGTTATTGAGGATTGTTCTTTAATCGTTCCTTTTTAAAATGCAGTTTTCCGGTATAAATGGAGTGCTATACTATACTCCCCAAATTCTTGAGCAGGCAGGAGTCGGAGTTCTTCTTTCGAACTTGGGCATCAGTTCATCTTCTGCATCTCTTCTTATCAGTGGAATTACGACCTTGTTGATGCTTCCTAGTATTGCAGTTGCGATGCGGCTTATGGATGTTGCCGGTAGAAGGTATGTTTTGTACCCTTTTCGGGTCTCGCAACTGCTACTCTGTGATGTCATTATCAGATGCCATGCCAATATTGCAGAAGTTCGTTTAATTTGAAGTTGTGAAGAAATTCAACGTTGGCATGCTGATTCATAAATTTTCCTTCCGTATTGTTATTACTTGATCTGTTCACATTGGTAAATCATTGTTGCAGGAGTTTGCTGCTCACCACAATCCCGGTCCTGATAACATCTCTTGTCGTCTTAGTCATTGGAAGCGTTGTGGAAATGGGGAACGTTGTGCACGCTGCAATCTCGACCGTTAGTGTTGTGCTATACTTCTGTTTCTTTGTCATGGGATTCGGGCCGATCCCAAACATACTCTGTGCCGAGATCTTCCCGACACGGATCCGTGGCCTATGCATCGCTATATGCGCCCTTACATTCTGGATTTGCGACATCATCGTCACATATTCACTCCCGGTGCTGCTCAAATCGATAGGTTTAGCCGGCGTCTTCGGGATGTATGCCGTCGTATGTGTTATATCATGGGTGTTTGTGTTCTTAAAAGTGCCCGAAACCAAAGGCATGCCCCTTGAAGTCATTACAGAGTTCTTTTCCGTTGGTGCGAAGCAAGCTTCAGCTGCCAAGAACAACTGAGTTTGGTTAAATATTTGATGGATATTTTGAAAGTTTTGACGACTGATGCTCAAATTTATTGGCAAAATAGGCAGTTTGATTTATGTAGAAAAAGATTTTAAAAATACTTTATGATTTGCTATTTGTTATACTTTTCTAAATCACATTTAAAGTTGAAAAATCTATAACACCCTACCTTGATTTTAAATTCTCGTTTTTTCTTGAAATACTCGTATATGACACCCGCATCAATACGTAACATACCTGTATCCGACACTCACAGGACATAACCTGTTAACCTGTGGACAACGGTTGACCTTGAAAAGTTAATGTACCTAACATGAGCAAATTCGTAAAATGACCACGGCCACCGCTAGCAGCCGCCGCTTGTCCACCGGAATCTCCACAACTATACATCAACAAATGGATTCAACATAGAATTTACTAACATCATATATAATCTTAATAATCAGAAGCATGATGTTCCCATTCCATTCATGATAGAGTGGTAGCGAACAATTACAACTATAGTTCAAAAGACCAGCTAGGCTTGAGTTCTCATATGCATAACCATAATCAAATTCAAAGTGAGAATCTACCAGCTAAGCTCAGTGTTAACAATCAAAAAATGATTTTTTCTAATAGCTACCGCTCTGTGTTGATTGCTTTTGACCTTCTATGGTATTCTGAAATTAAATATATTCGTCCCGGGAAGGGTTTGGATTCTCTAATATCGGAGATCTCACCGATCGCAATGATCAGCAAGATAGCAATACCAAGTCAAAAAGTAGAAGTGTGCATGGCTTATTTCAGTCGAACATCCTCTCCCCTGTCGAGAATAGCAAGAATATGAAAGAACTAAATACACAGAGCAATCCGGGAATGAAAAAGACTGCCCTCCATCATTCTGGACTAGAAAGATCTGAATATTCATCTTTAACAGCTTCAAGAAGCTTTCTGGTCATATCGACCCCAATGATCCCAGCTAGAGTACCAGCTGTATTAGAGACACCCATTACAATTCCTGCGTATTTGGGTGCAATATCCATATGATTCACTGCAAACCCAGCCCACCAAATGCCAAGAAACCGAGAGCCACTGAAGAAAAGAAAACGGTTCCACCAGATGTTCTGAAGAACGGAAGTGCCATCAGTGCAAGAGAAGATATAAATCCTACAGTGTTCAAGAACTTCCTTGTTTTAGTCACAGACATTATTCTTTTGGTGATCAAGTGGTCAGCAACAACCCCGCTGATATTCGAGATTATGAACATGTTGAAATAGGGCAAGTCAGTTCATTAATACATAGAGAGCATAGTGGAATGTGAAATTATTTACCACTATGCCCAAACTGGTCCACTGACTAAAATCCTCTTCCATGGGATTTTGGAAGTTCTCACGGTAGCCGCTGGTCCATTCTCCACTTTTAACTTCTGACTTGCTTTGGTAGGTAACACGGATTCTCCAAAACTAGTGGCAGTGGCTTTCTGATGCTCAGATCGAGGGGGGCAGTTGCATATTTAAACCAGAGAAAGGCCACATGACGCCTAATTCCGCTTGTGCAAGAAAATACAGATTGGGGACCTCTGAACTTCAACAGGCTCGGAAGGACAAGCATTCCCACAGCCGCACCTAGGTACATCCCGGAAGTAGTAAATGAAACAGATCTTGACCTCTCATGTGGTGGAACCCACTGTGCCACACCTACAAGCGAGCAAGCAACGACCAAGACTGTGACTCTATTGGGATCTAGTGGAACCAAAAAACAAGTTGATGACTATAATACGAATGAGAGAAGAAGAACCCTCCTTCCCCCGATCTTTTGAGCCAACCATCCTCCAGGCACCTGTGAACAAGCATAACCATAATAGAATGTGTAAAGTATTGTGCCTTTGCTTGATTGGTTAATCCCAGCAGCATCAACCGCAACCGTGTATGCTATGGAGAAGCCCACACGTTCTATGTAACATACACGTGCTGACAAAGGTTAAAATGACAATTAAATATCGCTTTGGGAATTTCATCCACTTCATGATTCACATCTACTCTTATATAGGATTGTTCTGCTAACTGTCTTCAAACAAATTGACTATCTAGCAGCTTAGACTTTCGATCCGTATTAACAAGCATTTCATCACAAGACAGCAGTTTCTTTGTCACTGTCTCGTACCTTTAATATATCTGCACAGCCTGGATGGAAAAATATCATACAAATGTTAAAAATGCAGGAAAAAGGTATCATCAAATTAGCTTGCTAAATCTAAATGTTAAGTAGACATCAGTTAAGAAGGAATTCATGCTTAATTTGCTTTATTAGTGAAATTTTAACTCAAAACCTCTAGTGATTGCTTGATTCTATCAATATGATACACTAACTTGACTTCTTAGGGATGGATAACACGTGAAAGGTCCAAGGTATCATATAAAAAACAGATTGTTATTACCATGAAAGGAGTTTCCCCAGAACATCTCATCCAAAAAATATTGAGCCCACAAATGGCAAAAGGGATGGAACTGGCATCCGAATTTAGACACAAAATTTACGAGAACATCGTAACTGCAAAAGCCTATCATGAAAATATTAGTTAACAGATTGTTGCAGCAAATCAAATGTTGCTGTGAGAGACTGTTAATATGAGATGAATATTCAATCACTCACTTCTGTGACTAAGAATCAAAAGAAGTTTATAAGTGGAAACTCATTAAAAACAACCAGATCTGATAATATGCTTAGCGAATTCTCTGATAAAAGCATTATCTGAGGTAAAGATGAGATTTTTCACAAGTCAAAACATCAAGCCAATGGACCAGCATTTGCAATTTCATGACAGCATTTTTATTTCACCATTGAAATGGGGTTGCCATTTCAATGAATATCTTTGTAAAGTGCATCAATTCAATAATGTTAGCCATTTTATATCAAATATCTACCAGATGAATGAACTGAACTTCCCGGCAGGCCAGCACTAACAAATTCAAGAACAATACACACATTCAAGAGACGTACTATTCAAGCCAAGTCCATTTACGAGAAGAAAATATAATCTCCGATCTCATCATATGAAAGGGGATCAGAGAGCTGAGTTCCAGTTGAAAATTACCCACGGGTCGACTTAAGAACACCCAAAAGATCTTTGTAACGAACAATCAAACATTTTTTATGGAATGGAATTAATTGGGAAATATCAACAAACAGAAAGAAGACAAAATGAAGAAAGAGAAAGATATGAAAAAAATGGAACAAATTGAAACGAAAAAAGAGATACCCAGAGTGCAGAAACAGGTTAAAAACATACCTTGAAAATTTGGGTATCATTGGAATTTCATGGAAGAAGCAAAAGCACATTGGTGGAAAGAAAAACCCTAATCAGAGAGAGATGGGAAGTGAACGTGGTGAAAGGGCTTTGTCCTGCTGAAAACTCACTAATTTCTGAACTTCACGTGTTCGTTAGCTTCACTCTCGCAGAATGCGATTCTCCTCCTCTCTGACAATTTGCATTCAATATTTCAAAAAAAATAAATAACTATGGGTAAAGTACACAAATGGTCCCCATACTATAGGATAATGCTTTATTGAGTCCCTAACTATTAAAAGCTATAAAATAATCCTTCCATTATAGGGTAATATTTTATTGAATCTCTCTACTATTAAAAATTGTATAATGATATCTCAACTATAGGGCGTTGTTTTATTGAGTCCTCCAACTATTATAAGTTACAAAATGATCACTCGACTATTCATAAACTCGCCCATTTTCATTAAATTATTGATGGTCGTCTAAGCTAGACGTTAACCTACTGATTGAGATATGATAAAATAATATTTTAATGACATCTACTGGAATCATCAATACTTTTAAGCATTGGCTTGATGATATAATGTTTCAAGCACGGACTATACATCATAATATAAACGATGAGTTGATTCATAAAATACATCTCAAATAGTTATGAGATCAGATTTTATCATATCTCAATCAATAAGTTAATGGCCAGCTTAGATGACTATCAATTTTTTTAATGAAAAATGATGAGATGGAATCTGTGAATAATCGGGTGACCATTCTGTAACTTTTAATAGTCGAAAGACTCAACAAATCAATGTTCTATAATCATAGTACTATTTTATAATTTTTAATAGTTATGAGACTCAAAAAATTAATACCCTATAGGCAAGGGACCATTTATGTACTTTACCCAATAAATATTGTGTGACTTGTTCGTGATTTAACCAATTTAAGATAAAACTCAATCATATTTATATTAAAAAATCAATTTAAGATAAAACTCAATCAGATTTTTTTTTTTAAAAAATTGATTTTAAATTTAAAAAAATTAATTCACTCGGTCAATAAATTTTAAAATAAATAGTTAAAATTTTAGTTGAAACTTCCCTATTTATCTGGTTGTGAGTTCAATACTTAGTAGGGAGTAACATTTTCATTTTCCTTCTCTTAGGGCGGATAAATTATTTTATAGACTCTTTTCACCACATCATTGATAGTTTGAACCAATTAAAAGAATTTACATCAATTTTTTTAAATCAGTTTATTTCCTTAATTATAAAGTAGCATTTGTTCAATCATTGACATTGAACGCTGACTATTTGTCCCTCTGTTAGAGGTGTTCCAGAAATATCTGTAATCGAGTAAATAGCTCTACGAACTAATAGATCGGCTTGAATTACAAATTGGAAAGATTTGTACAAGTTATACCTTTTGTCACCACTATGTGGAAAATCATTAGATATGAATATGTTAGATGCCTGCGACTCGATCGGTGAAGGTGAAATAATATCTATTCCCAAAAAAATGTTTTTTTTTCATGGTGCTCGAATTCGAGACCACAAGGAATAACAACGATTCTTTTACCATCGAAATCTATTAGTTCGTGCAAATTAAATTTAAATTCAGGAACTATCCTTAGGATCTTTATTAATGCATATAAAAAATTATCTTTGTTCATCCAAGTTTTTTTTTCATGGTGCTCGAATTCGAGACCACAAGGAATAACAACGATTCTTTTACCATCGAAATCTATTAGTTCGTGCAAATTAAATTTAAATTCAGGAACTATCCTTAGGATCTTTATTAATGCATATAAAAAATTATCTTTGTTCATCCAAGTTTTTTTGTTTTTTTTTTCCTTT